TGAGGTCTATTCATCATACATTGTTATTCCTATTGTCTTTTCGAATCCACGAGGAGAGTATCACATGAATCCACTTAGCTTAACCCTTCGCAAACGTTTATTCCGTTTTATTTCCTTCACGTAGACTTCTCGAATTCACGAAAAAAAAAAAAAATGCTTCGACGAATTCACGAACCACAGGATGTCGGGTTTCCACGCGCCCTCGACTTTCCCTTCTCTCGTGCGTTTCGTCGAATTTCCAGGGTTTTTCCGCTACGATTTTTTTCTTTACTGGGGGAAAGACTATGAGAGAATCATTGTCTTAGTTTCATCGGCATGGGTGTGAGGTTATCGATTAGTGATGTATATATTTGAGTGATAATAATGATGATGACTGATGAAGGATAATAATAGCAGTTGTAAAATATCGCAAGAATGGAAACAATATTGGTGAAAGTGATAGCTTAGTTATTATTATTATTATTATGAGGATAAAGTAACAATAATGGTAATGTTTAAAAATATAACGATAACAATAATAACAAAAGTAAAATTTGTGTTACAAAAGATAAAAATCATGCTGATAATACATTCAACATTAGGCACCATAATAATGACAGATGTATTTTAACAACTATAAAAATGATGATAATGATGATAACAATAACGGAATAGTAGTTATATTGCTAAGGTTAATGCAAATGGTAGTGGGGCGATAATGATGCAGAATTGGTAATAAAACCGGCAATAACAATTACCATAATGACTAGAATCATAGTAATACTTTTGTAGGACTCAGCACAATAGCGACAGACACAGCAGCAGCAGCAGCAAAGATGCCATTAGCAATAACAGGAACACTGGTGATAATGAAAGTAGAAATATTAACAGTAATAATAAGATTATGAAATCAGGATAATGATAATATTGAAAATGATGGTGATAATAAAGAATCATAATGGCACTACTACTCCTACTACTGCTAACATTGATGATAACGGCAATAATGATAATTATGATGATAATAATTAAAGAAGATAATGAGAATGATAATAATGATAATGAAAATAATAATAACAACCAATAATGATAATATTGATGATTATAATAGTAATATTTATAGTAACAATAACAATAATGATAATAATTGTAATAATGATAATAATAATAATAATACTAATGATAATAATAATACTAATGATAATATTAATAATGATAAAGATGACAATAATAACTATGATAGTAATAATGATAACAATAAGAATAGTAATAACAATAATGATCATGATAACGAAAATAACAGTGTAAATAATGATAATTATAGTGCTAAGGATAATGAAAATAATGCCAATGCTGTTGATGATGCTAACAATGCTAACAATGACAATAACAACAATAATAACAATGCTGACAATAATGATGACAATAACAAATAATAATGATAAAAATCATAATGATAATGGTGACGAAAATAATAATAATAATGATAACAATAACGATGAGAATAATAATAATCATAAGCTGATAGTAATGATATTAACAACAATGACAATAATAATGATGATGATGATGATGATGATGGTGATGATACTTATAATAATAATGATGATGATAATAATAATAGTGATGATGATGATGATGATAATGATAATGATGATGGTGATGATTACTATGAAAATTATTGTAATAATATATAATGATAATGATAATGATATTAATGATAAAAATACTGCTACTAGCAAAATTATAATGATAATGTCTAATTATAATAATCATTATCATAATAATAACAATAATAATAATAATAATAATATACTACTAATACTAATGATACTACTACTACTAGTAATAACAAGAACTGTTATCACTATCATTAACACTATTATCATTATCATTATTATTATTGTTATTATCATTCTTATTATTATTCTTATTCTTATTCTTCTTACTATTATCGTTATTATCATTATCATTTTCATCATTATTTCTATCATTATAATCATTATAATGAAGATGATAATGATGATGATGATGATGATGATGATGATGATGATGATGATGATAATAATAATAATAATAATAATAATTATAATAAAAATAATAATGATAATAACAATATTAATATTGATAATGGTATTAGTGTTAATGATAGTGATAACAGTATCACTAATGGAAATATCAATGACAGGAACAATGATGGCAGTAAGTGCAATAGTTACCAGTTTTTATGATCTATTATTTATTATTATTCGTATCGTCATTACAGTTATCGCTCTCATTACCCTCATTACCATTTATAATTCTTCTTCTGTTACCATTACTATCGATGTTGCTTTACCTGACATTGCACCATGAAAGCGTAAAAAACGAAGAAAGGGCAGCGGAGCCACACTGATCCTTGCCTCCCTTCCATTGTTCGGCTGTGAGCGCGTCCTGAACTTCCCGAAGGCCACGGGGGAAGCCGGCGTGTCCTTCTCCTCATAAATGGGCCACGACACACGCCCGTCGCCAGTGCTTTGTCCTGTTTCCTCCCGGCAACTTTTTCTGGAAACTCTGCAACTTCTGGGACTCCTGAAGCCTCTGCACTCCTGTAGTATCTGAAGCCTCCACAACATTTGCGAATTCTGCAACCATGGTCTGCATTGGATATATCGCTGAAATCTACTTAATCTTGATAATATGTACATTTGTTATGGAGAAACGTGGAGTGATATGGAGAAATGTTCAAAACATGTGAACACAAATTATTCTTGTTTCCTGCAATGTTCATGATTTGAAAATGAGCATTTCAGGTAAAACAAATATATTCCTTTTGCATTTTGTAGTGGTCGCTTAAGGTGGTCGTCGCTGTGATGGTTCTGCAGTTGCTCTGTGCCTGTCACGGGAGCGCCGGCCATTACGGTGGTATGCAGCTCACGTGCGCTCTTCGTCAGATGTAGTGCAATGAAAAAGAAATAAATGAATAAATAAAAATAATGGAGACTTTTCACTGGCTGTTCTTCTGATCTATTTTCACTTCCAACAGGTGGTTATGGCGGCCACACGCTCGTTGTGAGGAGGGGTTACGGTGAGTAAAGCGAAGCCTTTTCGCTATTCGCCCTTCGACAGGGCTTGGTGTACTGCTGTTCATACATGTACGTGTATATCTATATTTAGTCGTCAGCCTGTCTATCGATCTATCTATCTACAAACACACACACACACACACATATGATGCACACACACACACACACACACACACACACACACACACACACACACACACACACACACACACACACACACACACACACACACACACACGCACGCACAGACACACATGGTCGTCGCCGGCATGAAACCACACACACGCACACGTCACTTATCTGCCCTCATATATTCACGTTTTTGAAGAGATTTCGCAGCACAAAACAACGCGTTATTTTGTCCCCCTGAAGGTGGCGGGTATGGAGGGTATGGCGGCATCGGAGGTCTTGGCGTATTCGGCGGCAATGGCGGTTTCGGCGGGTATGGTGGCTATGGCGGTCTTTATGGTGGTGGTTATGGTGGCCTCGGAGGCTATGGCGGTTATGGCCTCGGAGGCTATGGCGGTTATGGCGTCGGATATGGTGAGTGGCCGGTTGCCTCCGTTGAGAAAGGTCGCGGAAGTTATTGTACCTCTCTCAAGATTTGTGTTATCAGTGTTCTTTGCAAGTCATTACTGAGGGTTTATAGGTCTTTCTTATTTCTATCATCATTGTCATTGTTACCATTATCATTATCACGATCATTATAATTATCATTATCATTGTCATTGTTATCATTATCGTTATCATGATCATTGTTATTATTATTATTATTATTATTACTATTATCATTATTATTATTATTATTATTATTATTATTATCATTATTATTATAATAATTATTATTATTGTTATTATCGTTATTATTATTATTATTATTATTATTATTATCATTATAATTATTATTATTGTTATTATTACTATTACTATTGTTATTGTCATTACTATCATTATATTTATTTCTGTTATTATTACTATCATTATTATTATCATCATCATTATTATTAATGATATTACTATCATTACGACTGATATCATCATCATCATTTTGCTCTAATTAAAAAAAAAATATTATTACTATTATTATTTTCTTATTATTATTGATATTATTATTATCATCATTACTAATATCATTATTATTATCATTATCAATGCCTTTATTATTGTTATTATTATTATTATCATTGTAATGATAATAGTAATGATAGTTATTATTACTATTATCATTACTATTACTTTTATTATCATTATTATCGTTATTAATATTATCATTTTCATTATGAATATTATCATTATTATTAGTTATTATCATTATTATTATTATTATTCAAATTATAATAATCATCAGCAGTTTTATTATTATCATCACTGTTGTTATTATCATTATTACTATTATCATTAACAATCTTCTACTTCTTATATTAGCATTGTCATTATTGTCATCACCATCATTATCATAATTATCATTATTATTATTTTTATTATTGTCATGATACTCACAATTATCATTATCAGTATTATTACTATATCCTATTATCATTATTATTACTATTATTATTCTTATAAATAAGTTTGTCAAGAACCCCTATTCAGTCATGGCTTGAATAATGAAGATTAAGTATTTACCAATAGACGCAAATTAGGAGCTACACAAAGAAATGTCGTTGACGAAATAATGTGAGAAATAATGATACTTAACAGGATGGTGAGACCCACGTTCACTGCTGCAGTTGCGGATGACGGAAGGGAGAGGCAAATAAACAGTTCGAGAAGACTCTTTTGTGATTTCCTCTTGCAACAATGATTTTGTCGGTGTAAGATCATTAAATGCACACACGCACTTTAGCTAAAGTGTGTGTGGGAATATATACAAATATATATAAATATATATATATATATATATATATATATATATATATATATATATATATATATATATATATGTATATATATATA